TTTCTTAAAACTCTTCTATTCATGCTACTCAGCTCTTGTTTCAGGTCCTCATCATCTTGACTGTCCTTAAATCTATTCACATAGCCACTAGAGGATTTTCTCTAAAACGCAAATTGAGCCAAGTCTTTTTTCAGCTAAAAAAACATTAATGGTTCTCCATCCTATAAAGCCTCTATGATCTAAATCCTACTTACTGTTCCTTTCCGGACTTTGCCATCTCTTATTCTACATTTTGGCTATATCAAAGAGCTTTTTTGTCCCCCTACCTCACCCAGCCAGTGCCACATGTATATGTACACTAACTTTGCTTTACATGTACTAGAATAGGATCCCAGTATTTTGTCAACTGCCCTTTAACTGGTTATTTCTTATCCTTTAAGACTTGATTCTATATTTTGTCTTGGAAACCTTTCTTGATCTCTGTGTCCCTCATCATCCTTACAGAATTATCTGGTCTTTCTTGGTAATTCCATGATATTCCATTGATACCACTCTGCTACTTTATTTACCACATGTTTTCATTGCCAGTGTCTTTTTCCTGCAAGATTTTGAACTCTGATCTCAGTAGCTGCCTTGTATATACACTTTTGTAAATGCAAGTCTAGGATCTAAGTAAATATTTAATGAGTTGTTGGATGATGAATACATATTAGTGTAGGCAAGCAAGGGTGACAAGCATATGCTGGAAGGAAGATCCAGGTGCAAAAGCACAGAAGAGTAAAAGTACTTCATTTTGGAGTTTAGACTAAACAAGAACAGGTGTGAGGGTGGGAGTGTCAAGAAATGAGCTTAGATGGATAGGTGAGGCCCATAGTAAAAGGTTTCCATGTTCCTTGTTAAGAAATTTAATTTTTGTCCTGAGGGCAATGAAAAGCTACTGAAATGCTTTGGAGTGGAAGATTGACAGACAGGTTTATAGTAATTCACACACACACACACACCTTGTATTTTAACAAAGATCATTCTGGCACATATATTAAAATAGGATACCATTGTAAAAAACAATGCCAGATAAAACTGCATGATGGGAGAATAGAGGTAAGCTAAATATTTTCCAAAAGAGAAATTTCCGGTAGTGGTACTAAAGATGCATTCATTTAGTCATTCTGATATTAAGAACTTTTTGAGTGCCAAACCAAGTACTAACTAAGCATGGGGATACCTACAAGAATCACAAAACCAGTAAGAGTTACAGATGATTCTAAGTGTTGATAAGGACTATGAAGGAAATAAAAGGGATAGAGAGTAAAGTAGGACATCTTTGAGGAAATACTAGTGATACTGAGTTGAAACTTCAGTGATGAGAACAAACATTCCAGTCTCAGCTATACCACCCTGATCTCAGAAGCTATAGAGGGTCGGGACTGGTTAGTACTTGGATAGGAGAATGAACATTCAAGGTGAAGAACAGTCTAAGTAGAAGAGCATGTGCAAAAGCTTGCTGCAAGAAAGACTAAGAAAGAATTTAATTTAAGAGTTATTATGGTCTTAAAACATTTCATCATGATTCTTGTAACATATAAATCAAAATGGATTGCATAACTTCATATGAGAGCTAATACTATTAAACTTCTATAAGAAAATGTAGGAGAAAATCTTAGTGATCTTGATGTGGCAAGGATTTCTTTTTTAATAAAAATTAATGTTTTTGAAAATCTTATTGTAGACATAATGAAAACTTCATTTTAATAAAAATGTCCTAAATAGCACAAAAAGCATAAACTGTAAGAGAAAAATCAATCAAAATTTTAAAGATTAAAAAAATATACATATATACAATAAAACCATTATTTGTACTTTAGTCCAAATTTTTGCCAGTTTGGTTTTGTTTGTTGGTTTGTTTTGCAACACTGAGGTTTCAATTTGGGGCCATTTACCTGCAAGCACTCTACACTTGAGCCACAGGCTCATCTGGACCATCAGCTTCCTTTTATATGCTTTCCAATAGATGGGATGGCAGACAAGTGCACTACCACACCCAGCTTCATTATTGATTGGGACGAAGGTCTTGTGGACTTTTCTCTTGGGCTGGCCTCCCAATTCCCACTCCAGAGTAGTTAAGATTACAGACATGAGCTACCATGGCCAACAATCAGTTTGTTTTTAATCTTGCTTTATTTCACAAGTTAATTCACTATAATCGGGCATATCCTACAAAAGTTCAACTTAGGCTAAAGATTTGTTGTTTTCAACCCATATTACTTAATAAATTTTCCATTATACTTTTTTTTGTTGCTGGTGCTTTGAATCCAGGGTCTCACACAGGCTAGAGAGGGGTTCTGTTGCTATATCCCTAGACTTCATACATTGTGCTTGAGATCTTCTTTTTTCACTCAAACCATTTTACATAATAAAGATAAAATATTCAAATAGTTGAACAAACATTTCTGTGGGTTGTAGACATTTTTTACTCTGTGGAATAAATTTCATAATTGGTTGAGTAGAGACTTCCTATGGAATAATAAAAAAGAATGCATTGTGTAGACATATATGTTGAAATAGCTAATCAAAAGATGTGTTCTTGTAGAATAAATCTGAGACATGAATAGAGGGTCTCCTGAGATTAATCACAACTGCCAGGCATATACTGTCATCTAATCATGTGACAATAAACACTAATTACACAGACTGTATTGAAAGCATTTGAAGATTGGTGAACCGTGCAATTAGAAATGGTAGTGGTGTGTTGATCTCTTTTTGTTTTAAACATTTAAAAATTGTAGTTAAAATACATAGCATAATATTTACCATTCCCACCACTTTTATGTATATAGTTCAGTGACATCATTGTTTTGTATCCGTCAACACCATCTATCTCTAGAATCTTTTCTTCTTCCCAAACTGAAACTCTCTACTTATACAATAGTAAATCCCCATCCTCTTCTCCCCACTGTTCTATTTTCTGTTTCTATAAATTTGGCTACTTTAGGTACATCATACAGTATTTATACTTTTGTGACTATCTTATTTTACTTAAGCATAATGCCATCAAGGTTCGTCATGTTACGTGTAGTGAGAGAGAGAACAAAATTGTATTAGTCTGTCTGAAGGGACTGTGGGAGGCAGGAGAGTTAAAGAAAATGTTAAAGAATGAAAAATATTAAAAACAACCTATTCTTAAGGAATATAATGTGATATAATGCACTATACTGTAAGTTGTTGAATATTAGGGGAGCATGGTGATAGAGAATGAGTAATTAATGGGGGTTAATTTGATTAATGCATGATACATACAGGTCTGAAGTACCAAGGTAAAACCCCTTTGGACTATCAAAAAAAAAAAATAGATCTTTTCTGTGGGTGGGTACCAGTGGGAAGTGGGTGAGCACAAGCAAAGGGGGAAGAAGGATAAACATGATGAATGCATTTTGTATCCTTATATGAAAATATAAGAATGAAAACTGTTGAAATTGTTCTGGAAAGCAGGGTTGAGGGGAAAGAAGAGGGATAATGATGGCGGGAGTAAATCTAATGACGATATATTGTAAATACATAGGTAAATATCACAATGTGTCACCCTGTACAAATATTATATAAAATATATAAAATAATTTTTTAAAAAGGCTCATCCATTTTATATCATGTGTCATAATTCCATTCCTTTTTAAGGCTAATACTCAGTTGTTAGTTATAGAACACGTTTGGTTATGTGTTCATTCACTGGTAGACATTTGGGTTGCTTCCACCTTTTAGCCATTGTGAATAATGCTTTAATGAACAAAGCACTATTGTATATTTATAAGAACAAATATACAAATAATTGTTCCCTGCTTTCAAGTCTTTTAGATATATATACCCAGAAGTAGAGTTGCTGAATCATATAGTAATTCTATATTTAATTTTTTTAGAGAAGCTACCAAACTGTTTTCTGTGATGGATGCATCATTTTACATTCTTACTAGTAGCACACAGGGTTCTACTTCACTCCAATAGTTTCTAATACTTTTGTTTTCCAGGTTTTTTTGTTTGTTTGTTTGTTTGTTTGCTTGCTTTTTTGTAATAGCCATCATAATGGGTATATTGATCTCTCTTTTGAGATGAGGTTTGGGACATAGAATGGGAAGTAAATTGCAGGCTGTATCCCAATTAGCCTCTCTCTCTCTCTCTCTCTCTCTCTCTCTCTCTCTCTCCTCTCTCTCTCTCTCTCTCTCTCCTCCTCTCCTCCCTCTCCCTCTCTCTCTCCTCTCCCTCTCTCCTCCCTCTCTCCCTCTCTCCCTCTCTCCCTCTCTCCCTCTCTCCCTCTCTCCCTCTCCCTCTCCCTCTCCCTCCCTCCCTCCTCTGTGTCTGTGTGTCTGCGTGGTTTGTGTAATATAAAAAGGAGGGAAAAAAATGAAACCCAGAGGTAGCAGAGGAATGGAAATCATAAAAATTAAAGCAAAGGTAAGAAGTAGAGAACAGAAAAACAATAGAATCAATAAAATCAAAAGTTATGAGATAGCACTTCCCCTCCAAAGTGGCTATAATCACAAGATAGAAAACACTGCAAATAACAAATGTTGGCAAAGCTGTGACAAATTGGAATGCTCATACATTGCTGGTAGGATTGTAAAATAATGCAGCTATGTGTTTAGCAGTTCCTCAATAAGTTAAACACAGAATAACTATATACCCAGTAATTCCACTGCTGTATATTTAGAAGAATTGAAAACAAATGTTCAAATGAAGTCTTGTACACAAGTGTTCATGGCAGCACAAAAAATGGTAGCCAAAAGGTGAAAACGATCCAGACTGTTTATCAGTAGATGCATGGACAAACAAAATATGCTGTATCCGTTGATGGAATCTTATCTAGCTGTAAAGATTGAAGTACTGATACGTGTGGACAAAACTAGAAAACATTGTGTTATGTGAAAGAAACTGAATGCAAAAGGGCATGTATTGTGTGATTCTATGAGCATTTTGCTCACTTGTACTAAACACTAATGGATTTAATTTTTAAAACTTCAATCTTTGAGAAATATTTTGGAGTTTGATATAATTTTCTTCTTAACTATCTTTAGGCCAGTCAAGCCTTCGAGAAGCTATCTCCATGTCCTGTATAACCAATGGAAGTAGTGTAAACAGAAAACCAAGTCATGCCAGCTCTGTTTCAATTGCAAGAAAAGAAACTCTTTCGTCTGCTGCTAAAAGGTACTCATTGGTAAAGGGGGAAAATTGACACTGCACAATTGAATGTAGTCTTCATTTGAAAAGAATATGAAATAGAGCTGTATGGGACTCAAGGGAATGTGCCCTGTGAATTCTTTAACTGTGAACGAGACATCTAGCCTATGCATATTCTGTTTATATTCATAAACAGAATATTCATACCTGTTGAATTTCAGTTAGAAATCTTTTGGTTCTTACTGAAGAAAGGCAGCCAGACAAGGTATATTCCTGTAATCCTAGCACTTGAGAGACTGAGACAGGAGGATCATGAGTTTGTGGTCACCTGGGCTATGTAAAAGACCCTGTCTCAAGCCCACCACCACCCTTACCTCCTAAAAGAAGGAGAAATTTCACTTCCTTTTTTTTTTTTTAAGCAAGAAATTATTGGTAAGTATCACTATAGTTAATGAAATAATGTAAGTGAATTTTCCTTAGTGAGTAATTTATTTGATATAGCATTTTAAAATGGAAAATTGAATCTTTGATTATATCTATTAGTGGGAGATTAAATGCTATTTTATAACTTTTTTCTTTAATCACATAACTATAAAATTAAAGTCTAATTTTGGAAATAATACACTACTGTTTTATATGTCTGTCTATATCTGCAAATAGAGGATAGTAGGCAAGAGGGTGGTGGAATTACTGCAGTTAAAAGTTTCAGTGATGTCAAACATAGTAGTAAATGACTGCAATCCCAGCTACTCAAGAAGTGGAGGTAGGAGGCTCACTGTCCGAGACCATCCTGGACAAAGTTAGCGTGAGACCTTATCTGACAAACAAACTAAAATCAAAAGGGTTGGGTGCATGGCTCAGGTGCTATACATTAGGCCATGAGTTCAATCCTCAGAACCACCAAAAAATAATAATAATAATATGAAAGTTTCAGTGGATTGCAGATTGGCATTCTGTGTATATTCTTTTCATTAATTAATTAACCTGTTGTTCCCAAAAAATTGCTTATAGAACTCCCCCCCCCTTTTGAAATTCCTAGCAGATTATTCCATATAGAATTTGGAGAGACCACAGGAGATCAACCTCATAATCTTACAACAGTTTTCTCCAAATACATGAGGAGAAACTTTTAAGTTATGTAATGTGTAATAGTGTACTGATGGAAAGAACTTACCTCAATAAACTAATGTCAGTGACTGAATTTTTTGTAGTGTGCAATTATAGATGTTTAACCAAACAGGTGGCTACAGGATGGTGAAGAAATAAGATCATCAGTCCTTTTAAAATTCTTTTAAAATTTCATCTTTGAAGTCATTATCACAGAATCTAGAGTTTTCCTTTCAGAGAATGCTAAAATTTATTGCTGTGCTCTACTTTCAGCAATAAAGGACAAAATATAAGAAAATAAATTCATAGTTGAAATTTTTTATACAGTTTTAAGTATATTTCTAGTAACAGTTTGGATTCAGCCATTTTTCTTAAATAGCACTTGTACTGTTGCCATGCACTGATCAGTATTATGCACAATAGTGATTCAGTGATCTAAGACCAGCTGAGTTTGTTTCTTTATGTGCAGAAGCACTGTATTTTGCTTTTAAATAACTCAGAAGGAAAACTCTCTTAGGTTGTACTGGGCCACCTAAAATTTACGGCCTATCATTCACGGTAATTTGAAGACCAACAAGAAGTAACTTCCAACTCAGTTTTTTAATTTCAAAGTTAATTGATATTTTTGAGGTAAAATTTTATCTCTTAGCTCACACTTTTTAAAAAATTGAACATGAAGTTGGTAGTCTGTGGCCAGTGTAAAATCAGAAGGTATCAGAACTAAATCAGATTAAGAAATGTCACTGTCAAAAACAATAATTACATTTTTATAATTATGTGTTAGAATGTGGTAGTTAAATTGTATTTAATATACATAATTTGTTAAAAATGTGCTTGGAACATACTTACTGATTATGCACCTTATAGTAAAAATTTCAAAGTGTCCTATGATTAAGAACTATAGACGGCTGATAGTTTTCTACGTTGTCAACATTGGAATGCAAGTCTTGATTCCATCTGCTTTGTAATATTGCCAAGAATTTTAATGCAGTATATGTACTCTTATCTGGTATGATTGGAAGTGAAAGTGGTTCATTAATCAAGAGTCAAAGTACAAAATCATAAAATTATACATAAGTATCTTAAAGGATGCATCTCTGATCAGATTTCTTGTTGACTATCTTGCATAAAATATGCTCATAAATAACTTCATAATTCTTAGTTTCATGTTTAAAGGCAGAGTAAGAAATTTAAAACTTTACTAAAACAGTGTTAGAATCCATTTCTTTTTCCTATGATGTTTTAAATTGTCTCACCCCAATTTAACAATTTTTTATAACTCTTTTTTTAAGTCTTTTAGGGCATTAATACTAGAACTTTTTTTTTTTGTAGAACTTGTAGTTCTCTTCTACATTTTGTTAATTTCCTTTGTATTTACTTAATTTACATAATTAAAATAACTGGCATAAACATATTTTAAGAAAAACAAACTGTTGGTAAGATTAAAACCCTATTAAGCTGGGTTGTTGTAGTACACACCTGTAATACCAGTACCCAGGAGGCTGAGGCAGAAGGATACCGAGTTTGGAGTCAACCTGGGCTGCTAGCCTGGGGTACATAGCAAGACCCGGTCTCAAAAAACAAAAGCAAAACTCTATTGATCTGTAGGTTGGGGATGTAGCTCAGTGTTTGCTTAACTTGTCCAAGGCCCTTGGTTGATCCCCAACACTGTAAACAAAACAAAACCTTCATCTGACAAGAGCAGAATTATTCAGAGAATTAGAGAGTAATCTATTGAATGTGAACATTTAGTGTGCTTAGGCATCAGTAAGTTTGTTTTTGTAGGAAAGTTATCACTTAATTCTTTATTTGGGTGAGTTGGGGTCAGTTAAGAGAACTTACCGTCTCCCCAAATCTATTCTGTCAAAATGACAGAATTCTTTGGAGGTAATTTCTGTTCAAAGGAGCCATCTTTACAGTATATATTGCCTTAGAATTTTTATAAATTCTTCATTGAAGATTTTAATAGCTTGCAAAATTTTCAGAGAATTATTTTTCCTTATTGAACAAAAATAGTATAAGTTGTATTAGCTATATGATTTAGGGTTTTTGAGTTATAATAGTCCTATTATTTTGATTTTTAAATTTGTTTAAATATGTATTGTTCCATGTTATACTTTATTTTACAGTGGTACAGAAAAAAAGAAAGAAAGACCACAAGGACAGAGAGAAAAAAAAGAGGAATCTCATTCTAATGATCAAAGTCCACAAATTCGAGCATCACCTTCTCCCCAGCCCTCTTCACAGCCTCTCCAAATACACAGACAAACTCCAGAAAGCAAGAATTCTACTCCCACCAAAAGGTTTTAACTGCCCCCAAGTACAGAGCTAGGGAATGGTTGTAAAGATACCTAAATTCTGTGATGTGGGAAGAAGGTGTACATCCATGGATTCTAAGAGAAAAGCCTTGTTTTTTTTCTTCTTCATTACTATAATTTATATTTTAGCACATTGGGAAATAAAGATTTAAAATCAAAATTTCTTAGTTAAAAGAAACTAAGTTATAGATAATCTGGTGAAAGAAAAGCATACAGAACTTACTAAGACTGAAACTATTTTTATAATAAAATTATAGAACCCTTTTTAAATTTATATGTAGTTGTATATAAATTTGTAGCCATGGATAGAAAATTGCCATATGTAATTATCCTCATCACATTTTAGCATCATTACAACCTTCAACTTGCAAGGGCCCTTCTCAACAAATGGCTCTTCATTGTGGCTGTGTCTCAGTATCAGTTTGTGGTCTTGGGAAGATAAATAGAGAGATGAATACATTTCACTTGGTCTTTTCTATGCTAAAGGCTTGCTTGAGACCTTTTCTCTGTGTCCATAATAATTAATATTTTAAAGTTATGACATGAGGAGAAGGGAAATACATTCTAACAATGTGTGTGATCCTAAATTGGGGTCTAAAATTGCATGCTGGGAGTTCACTGCTACAGCTACCTTGTAATCAAATATTAAGATCACCTTAATTAAATTTGCCTGTTTTAGAAATGCTGATTCAAGCTTTATCTTAGGGGATATATTTTGTCATCATACTTTTGCTTAGAAATCTTAGGGAACAATTAAAAACATTCCCAGGACTAGTTAGGATTTTAATAAAGTAAATGACAACTATTTTGAAAACATTTATAATATATTCTTATCTATCCAGTTCAATATTTTGCCTCAAGTCTGCAATGGAAATTTGGAAAACCAAAAATACCCTCCACTTGACTGATGCATGTTTACTGTTTACAAAATGCTTTGTCTCTGTGTCTCACACAGATTCTTATGCTGTCGAAAGGATTTGTTTCTTCTGCCTGGTCTCCTGCGGGGTTTTTCTTGGATATAGCTTATTATTGTTACGCAACTTCCAATTGTGAATGGTTAAAGGAGGCTTTTGTAATCAATCACTTTAAGGTTCTGATTTCACTTGGTATCTTCTTTGTCCCAGAATCTTTTTTTTCAGCTTCTTGAGGTCTCCTGGAAATGTGCTTGCCCTTCTAAATTGCTCTTTGGATATACTATTGCAAGAAATGTTGAAGACTGGATGAGTTTAGGATAGTTAGCAATGCAGACAAAAAGTAATTTGTAAATCAAAAAATTTCAGTCATAAGTATAGGGTATTAATGTTGATGATAACACTTTTTTTGTGTGTCAAGTCTTCTTTATTTCTGATCCTAGGTAAAATTATTTCTAAAGCTATAAACGAGAATTTCATTTAGTCCCACAATTTATTCAGAATTTATCATTTATACCTATATAAGTTAATTAGATGAGACCATAAATACATTAAAAAATGAAGAGCATTTTTAGAAGTATAGATTTTTAAACTACAACTATAATAGCTATTACTACTCAAACATTTAATCAGATTAGTTTTTTCCATTAACAGCAAAAAAGATACATATTTTTTTTTTAAACAGGCAATATTTGTTTTCGTGAATCTTCTGAATAATACTGAAAATTACAAAACAGACTTGGTAGCTGCCTTGTTTAACTCCTTCACTCATCCAGGCAGATCCTATCAACTAATCCTTCCTTCTCTTTCTGAATTAGCTTTGAGGAAATGTTAATCATTGCTTTTGTGTTCTATTTGAACTGTCAATTACATGTCCTTGCTACTCAAAATTTTTCTCTTAAAAAATTAATGTGTTTCTTCTAGCATAAAACGACCGCCAGCAGCTGAAAAGCCACATAATTCATGGGAAAACTCAGATGACAGTCGTAATAAATTATTGAAAACAGTTTCAACATCAAAATTAATATCAAAAGTTATAAAAAATACAGAAAAGTAAGTATTATACTTCCTTAGCTACATATTAGTGATTCTGCATCATTTTTCCGTGTATAATTACGTCTGGTTTGAGTTTTTAACCTATTTTAATATATATATATATATTTTTTTTTTTTCTTCTCAGTATATTTTTTTAAGTCTTCTCAGAAAAGACTTAAAAATGTTAATGTTCCCTAAGAATCTCAGTAATCCTGTAAGATCTGAGTTTTTTTTATAAGGAGAATGTTTTATACTTTCACTGTTTAGGTGAACTTAAGGGATATTCATTGTTTCATAAAACAGTGTTTATTAGTAGTTTAGGCCACTGAAACTAAAAACTACTGATGCCTGATTTCTTTTTTCTTTTTCATTTGTAGGCTGGGGATTAAATGAATAGAAATTCATTTTCTATCCAATCATTTTCCCCAGCCAGTTTCAATGTTCAAAGTTTAATTACTGAATTTCAATCCTAGAAATTTATCTAAGATATGGGCTAGGCATCAAATTTTTATAATTCTTTCTGGTGATTTTAATGGTCAGTCATAAAAATTACAAAATGTGTTCTTTGAATTCCTTTTTTAGGCATAAAGATGTCATCATTAACCAAGGTAAATTAAAAATCCTTTTTAAAAATACTTATTTTGATTTTCTACATCAGTTTAAGTTTTTAGTAATTGATAAAAATTACTGATAAAACTTATTTTCATTCAGTGTACTTTATTAGCTCATACTAGTCAAAGAAATGTGTAGTCATTTAAGAAAATGCTCAGTTTTTATTGTAAGATATATCATTTTTGTCTCAACCAGCAAAAATGTCAACCCGTGAAAAAAACAGCCAAGGTAAGAATAAGCTACACAGTTGGTTGCCTTCCTGGATCTCTTATTTGGCTTTTCATTATTTCTACTCTCTGATTTTCCTCTTGACAAAGGAAAGTATCATGATAATTTGAACTAGTGAATCCAACTACTTTAAAAAAAAAAAAAGTCCATTTTCTGTGAGTTCTGAAGATGTAAGGTGAGCAATAAAAATAAATACAGCAGTATAAAATATGCTTTCTCCCCTTTTTTTTAAAGTTATTCTTAGAAAAGCCATTTAAAAGATTGATAAATTTTAACTCAATGTCTTGCCAACTTCATTGCAAATAATCACTCATTTCTTGATGCTAAGACTGAAAATATGAGTCTAGCAAACCATTTCCTTTTAATTTTTTCTTTTATATTAATTGTAAATCCTGGCTACTTGCTGTTGTTGGCTTGTTCTGACCAAATAGAGAGCAGATTTTCTGTAAATATATATTTAACTTAATTACAAAGTAGGTAAGTTTTCTACATAAGTTTTACATTTTCCTTAGATTGCCTGCAAGTTTAATTGAAGCATGCTGTTCTAAATGAAAGCATGCCTTTTCTGTGCATGCTTTTTCAGTTCATTTCTACATGTCATAGTTATCTTTGTTTTCTGGGCTATTAACCAGCTAAAATGTAGTTAAAATTTTTGTTAGGGATTTAATATAACTTCTGTGGTTTTTTTTTTTTAACTTTCTTTGGTTCTACTAAGAAAAGAAATATTTGTTATCTTCTTTGAATGATTCGTTTTTACATAGAAATTGTAATTGAGGTTGAAATTTGGTGGTTTTCTCCTTCCGTTATAATATAGTGTAGGTTATGTAATGGTTGACATTTAAAAAAGAAATGAGATTTTATTTACAAAGACAATTCTTATTACATTGTATATCAAAACATTTTTTCTTAATAGAGGTGGTGAGGTATAGTGGAAAGAACAGTGAATGTAGAGTTGCTGTGTTTAGCGTATGGTCCTGGCTCTTCTGTTTGATAGCTTCATGACCTAGAACAAATGTCTCTGAGTAGTTTTCTAACCTGAGATACTAACTGTATCTGAGTAGTTTTCTAACCTGAGATACTAACTGTAAAGCTTACTTCAATGACTGCTGAAGGATGAAATAATATATATGAAAGTACAGTAAAACTAGAATATACTGTAACCTTAAATAGGTGCTATTATAAATATTTTGCTAAAGACCTCAAATTTTATAAAAATTCATTGGGTAAATGAGATAGGGCTGCCTGCCTTTTACTCATGTCTTGGAATTTTAAGAGTGGTATATATAAGAATGGCTTGTGTTGATGACACAACTTTAAAAATCACTCAGACCAACAAGTAAAGTAATATATTAGATAGGGATTGCTATAGAAGCATCATTAAGCTGGATTTTCATCAGTGGCAGTGAGAAGGATGGAATGAAAATCTGGAAAATGATATAGAAAAAGCAGTGTTTAACTTCTTCGATTATAAGAATTTTACCTCAAAAAGATTGTCCCAGATGTTGGAAATTGAAAACTTCAAATGTTGACTGCATTGAGCCTTACCTGTGGCATTTAAATCTATTCCTTTGCTACTATAATTACTCTATCCTGTCTAGAGAATACTAATGATTAGAGTGTGCCTGCAAGAACTTTTCTTCAGTCTACTATGTGGTTCAGGCCTGACCAAGATTAGTGAGGCTGAGTCTCTAGAAACAAGTAGATGGATTCTAGAGGTTTTAATAGAGTGTGGGAAAAAAGGAACAGAGAGAATCTGTGAAGCCTAGCTTGAGAGAACTAGGTAAGTGGCATCTGCTGAAATAGAAACATTTCTATATGTACGGAAAAAATAGGAATTTGGTTTTGAAGGCTCACACTTGAGTTGGCTCTAAAACTTACTTGACATGTAGAAATGTATAGGAACCAATGTGATGTTCATGTTTAAACAAATGGATTTTGGACTTCAATGACTGGTTTCATCACTAGCAGGTTATTTCACCTCCAACATAGTTCTCTCATTTTTAATTGGGATAATAATAAGTCTTCAAAGAGATATTATAAAAATTAAGATAGTAATAAAGCATTTTAACACAGTATATGGCATATATAACACCAAATAATATATATGAGTATATATATATATATATATATATGTATATATATATATATATATACACACACACATATATAATAATATATATGAGCCTGGCAGTAAAAACCTTGCACTCAAATGTGTAGAGAAGATGAAGAGGCAACCATTAAGCTAGGTGATATAGTGTGTGCCTGTAATCCCAGCACTCAGGAGGCTGAAGCAGGAAGATCAGCAGTTCCAGGCCAGTCTGGGCAACCGTTATATGATCTTCATTTGTTTTAAGTTGTAGACCTATTGTAAAGGTTTGGCACTCATTTTGCATGGCATAGTCACACCATATCTTCTTTTAGCTATTAATGCTAATAACATCTGTCATTTTTAGACATTCTTTTAAAAATATGATTTATTAATGTCTTTAGCTCTTTTTTCCCAATGACAGCTGTTAGTTGTTCCACGCCATCTGCTTTGATAAGAGAAGAAGCCTATTTGCATTTGGTACATTTAGGTGACTGGTAGCAGAGAAAAATAAAAGGCTGTGTCCTCAAGCACAGCGGGTAGGAAAAAAAGCCTTGAGGCTGCATGTTCTGATCAGCACTTAGGCAGGAAGTTTGGTTGTCAGCAGTAGGAAGTGGAATAGGCTGTACATAGGGAAATCTCTGAGACTAGCCTCAAAAAAGGCTGTCACTGATCTAGATCTTTGTCTGCACTCTGAAGCATGAACCCTTCTCGTGACTCTTTCCTAGTTCTGGGTTCTGTTCTAGTTACAGCAGAGATAAACTCCTCCCACAAGGTAAAATTTGAGTAAGTTTTCCTGTAGGAATATTTATTGTTAGATGTGGCAGTTAGCTTTCTAGTATAATTCTCTTCAACTGGTAAGTTACTAACTAAAAAAATTTTTTTTGGTTTTGGTTTTGTGGTGCTCATGCTTCCTAAGCAAGTGCTATACATTCTCAGCCCTAAAAAAAGAGGTGGATTTTTTTTGTTTTGTTTTTTGAGCTAACTTGGGAGACCATAAGCATCTTTTATAAAATTACCTATTGGAGAAAAATAGGTAAGTCTGACAAAATTCATAATAAAATTAGTACAATTACTCATCCTTATAGTAGTTATTAAGTATATTGTTATTATTATTACTCTTACTATTTTGCAGTGCTGGGAGTCAGACCTCGAGCATACTACTACATCCCTTAACATTTGTTAAATATAAGAAATTAGTGTGTTATATTCTCATTTCTAGAGCAGAATCTGAATATCCTCAAATTATTGCCCATTTTTCAGACTTGAACAACCTTAAATAGTTTTTCTCTTTGCATCCCAAACTAGTTATGTTTCTTTTAATTGACAGATAAAATTGTACATACTGTATACAACATGATGTTTTAAGTATGTATATTGTGGAATGTTAAATCTAGCTAATTAACAAATTCATCACCTTATGTAGTTATTTTTGTGGTGAGAACGCATAACACCTATTCTTCTGGTAATTTTCAAAAATACAGTATTTCAGTAGAGCTCCTTTACTTGGGGAGATTTGTGTTCCCTGGCTGTGGCTGCATCACATCTGGTAAAGGTGGCCATGGTCTCTAGACTAGGATGAACTGCACTCCCGGGAGTGCAGGATGAACAGGGGAGCTGAGCCTGAGCCATATAGCAAGTCTTTTAGAAATGTTATGTCTCTGATATTATTGAAATAGGCTTCTTTGCCATATTTTCCCAAAGACAGATTTTTTTTTTAGGTAGTAAAAATAACCTAAGCACTGATATTTTTAAGTATTTTGTGACAAAGTTATAAGCAAAACAGCAAAGAGATTGATTAGAAGAAGCTTAGAGTCAAGAAAGATAACTGTAAATTGATAATTAGCATAGGTCCACATGGTTATGTTTCTGATGTAAATGCCTAAGGGGTTAGAGTCATCATCCCTTTTTACATCTTCATTGTGCCCAGGGTAATTAATTCAGGACATTTTGCTAGTCAATAGAATTTTGCCTGTAGAACAAAGAAAATGAAGGTAGCATTTTATAGTACTAGGTCAAAATTTTCAAAGCTGAGTTTTGTCCTGGCTAGTGAAACTAAGTCATATTATATTTGGCAAGCACTATAACTAGAACTTTTAAATGTATGAAATAAAAAAGTTAAGTTATATCCTTCTAAATTTTCTCTCTTTATGAAATTTAGTATCTGTATTTTATGAGCTGTTTTTACAGCTAGGCCACTGAAAAAGTCTTGGATGAAATTTAGATTTTATGAACAAATCAAGTTCTGTGTTCACAGTCCTTACACATTACATTGTTTCACTGAACTTTCAAAATGTTGAGTTGTTACTACAAAATAACTATCATTAGCTAGAACTTGAAATCCTTTAGGAAAAAAAATCTGAGAAAATGTTTTAGTCTTTCAAAAATGGCCTTTGTCAATGTCTACTATATCAGAGTTAATATTTATAGTATCTTGTTTATGTTTTTGTAGCTTAACTATATAATTTGGGGGTTGAAATAGTAGTCTGAAAAAGTTCGGGCCTGGGGCTCAAGCAGTAGAGCAGGTTCTCTGTAACTGCAAGGCCCTGAGTTCTGGCCTCTCCTTCCCCCAAAAAAGAGAGAAAAGGCTCAGACTAAGATTTTTTAGTTATCTATTTGTTTGCATGAATTTGGTAGCATAACATTCTGCCACATTTTAGTTAAATACAAACTTCAAAGCATCTAGTTTGGCAGAGGCTATGTAGTTCTAAATAATAGTATTTTGAAACAGATTAAAATTTTGCTTTAACCTCTCTGAGCCTTGATTTCCCCTTCTGATAAAAGTTAGAGATTGGACTCAATGAACATTTCCAATACTACATTTGTGAAGAAAAATGAACCAACAGCTTTTATCAACAATATACTATGGAAATTGATGTATTTATTATTTTTGTGGTACTGACATTTGAACTCAGGGACTAGTGCTTTCTAGGAAGGCGCTCTCCCTCTTGAACCACATCCTCAGCTCCAGAATTAATTAACCTGTTTTGGTGGCACTGGGGTTTGAACTCAGGGCCTCATGCTTGCTAGACAGATTCTGGTACCACTTGAGCCCAGAATTTATTTATAATTATACTATTTTATCACTGTTCAGGTTCAATTAAGGCTATTTTGTTTGAGCATAGGCTAAAATAAGCATTGAAAGTCAAACCAAGGTCTGTGTGAAAGCTTGTATTCTCTCCACTTCCTCTCAGTCCCAGAAATTTTCACTGTGCCAAGTTAAAAGATAAAATGTTGAGATTAATTATATTTCAGTAAGCAGCAGCTTCATTACTGAATACTGATGGCCTTATTCTGTATAAGGGTAGGAAGTTTAATAAATTCTTTTCCTCATTCTTTTCATGAATCACAAAACTTTGTTGCCAAATGGGGTGGTACATTTCTGTAATCCCAGTGCTTGGAAGGCTAGAGAAGGAGGATCATAAGGTTGAGGCCAGCCTGGGCTACGTAGTGAGACCCTGTCTCAAAAAAACAAAACAACAACAACAACAAACCCACTTTGTGTTAGTGTTATTGATCTCAAGCTCTATTTTGACCAGTTCTACATACCATCCCTTTCCCTTACTTTCCTTGTTACAGTGAAGACAGACAGCAAGTAAGAGTTGGGGCTGGTAGAGTGGCTCAAGTGATACAGTACCTGCCTAGTAAGTTTGAGGCCCAGAGTTCAAACCCCAGTACCACCAGAAAGTAGTGTTGGGCATATTTACTATAATTCTTTTGACTATTAGACTAAGAAGCCTGATAGTCTCAAGAAAAAGTTTACATTGAGAAGACAATGACTAGAGAAGAAAGAGTATTGTCTTCATATTTTACTCAATTTCCAAGGAAAAGACTGCTTTCTACAAGAAGAGGTTGCAAGCTGGTGTGCTGTGTGCAGGCCAAATAGGTGTGCTTTCACACTGTGATTTCCCTTTTGGGAAATTTCAGTCATAGATTTACTATTTCTCTTTTTTTTTCTTCTTTGAGTAGTACTGAGATTTGAATTCAGGGCCTCACACTTGTTAGGCAGGCATTGTACTTCTTGAGCCACTACCAGCCCTATTTCTCTTAAAAAATGAGAAGTTCTGATAAGAGTGGGTACACATCCCTGATGGAGCTGACTAACTGCTACCTCCCTGGGATGGTGTACAGAATATTCCACTACTCCCTTCCCCAACCAGCATGTACTTTCCCACTTCTCTCATCTGCATTTCCTGCCAGACTCTACAGATACTTGAATTTGTAACCCTGTATTAAAGTGTACACAAATAGAATCAGCAGAATTCTGACTTACTTGCCTACATTTACCATTCTGTGAATAATCACTTTAAAGCTTATGAAGAGATTATATAATACATTAAATTATAAGCAAGTACTAAATGGTGTTTAAAGTGGTCACAAGTTGCTCAGTATGATAGTACACACTGTAATCCCAGCATTTGGAGGGCTAAAGCAAGAATATCATGATTTCAAGGCTGGCCTGGGCTACATAGCTAGACCCCCATCTCCAAAAAAAAGTCATAATCATAACTCTTTCTCAAAGGGAGGGAGATAAATAATTGTTAAGTATTTCATGTTATGCTTTGAAATGTGATACCTTGTAATCATAATTCCAACAAGTAAGTAGTATTGTCATTTTATGTGTTAGAAAAGTGAGGCTAAGTCTCACAGCTAATAGGTGGTAAACCTGTAACTCAAATCCCAGCCAGTCTTTTCAGAGCTCATATTCTTTGATTATAATATATTGCTTCCTTCTTAGTCCCAGGATAGATTTGTATACCTGGTCTCATATATACTACCAGTTTGTAGGCAGGAAAGTATTTTCATCCTAACATATATTGCCATTTTTATATCATGTTAGAATAATTGGCAAGCACTAATAGTTCCTTTTAGTTTCCTATTTAGTTGATTTCGCTCCCTGACAGTTAATAAAAGAATCAATATGATATTCTGAGCTGTCTCGTTTAGCTTTTTTATGTATGCTATTGCTAGCCCTTTCCCTTTTGCTACCATACATTCCCTTCTAAGTCACTATAGAAGCCATTAAATGTTTTATTTTATTCAGAAATCACTTTTCATGTGTACTTCTGATCAAAGTTTCTGGGAGAAATTCCAAAGGACAGGACATCTGCCTTCAAAAATTTACAATCTTGAAACAAAAAACTAGAGAGAAAGTTATGTAACAAGTCAACCCCTGTAAGAGTAAACTTTAAAGAAAGAGTAAGGAGATATGGAGAGGAATGATTGCAGAAAGACAATATTTATGGTTGGTAATCATTCATTTGTCATCAAAGTCCAGCTGTGCTAAAAATCACCAGGAAGGAGAGCCCACTGTTAGATTCACAAGTAATAAAGATGGACCTCATGTGGTATTAAAATCATAGTGTGGGAGGTCTCAGTCTTCTTCCATCAAGCCCTGAGGCCAAGCTCATTGTGAGTAATAATAACATAAGTAACTTCTCATCCACAGCATGCACTTTTTAATCACCTGAAGAAATACTGGCATTCAGCAAGTAGATTATCTTCTTTTTCATTATATAAACTAATGAATTATGAATTACTGGGTTATGTACTCCTTAACAAGCTCAAGTCATTATTAGAGATGTTGAGATTCTATCAACCGCTGATTGATGATGGTCATAATTTCAGTCTTCACCACTATTTTCATACCGTACCAGACAAGATGTCAAGTGCTTGACATTTCCTATGCTTTTTGTATTGAGTATTTTTCCCCCCTCCTTCCCGCTTAAGTTCCTTTGTAACTACTTCAAAGTAGTTACCAAACCTCTATCTGTATGTAGGCCATCAGGTAGTAAGGGCAGGGATAAGTGGGAGAGTTGTTTCAGTTTTTGGAGAAGTAAGAAACAGTCCCATTTGTTTAGTATGGTAAATATTGATTTGATTCTAAACTTGTCTTTTTGAAAACACTTTTAATTTCAGACTATTGAATATCTTATAAACAATTATTGGTATATATAAATAAAAGCTGTTTCAGAACCTATCCTGCTCTGAAGAAAACTGTTTGGTAGGGCTGGGGAGTATAGCTTGATGGTAGAGCACTTGCCTAGCATATGGGAGGCCATAGATGGAATCGCTAGTACAGAGTGTGTGTTGGGGGGGAATCTGTCTTAAAGATGTTAGTGTGTTATAATTGAATTTAATTATTTAGATGCAAGACTGATCGTAGGCACAATTAATTATAAAGTGAGACAAGTTGGTCCTCTTTAAATCCAAGCTTTACTTACTTGCTATATTACATAGTTCTTAGTCCCTTTCCTCATTCTAACTTATAAAGATGTTTGACTCCTTTCCTCATGGTATATTATGAGGTCATGGTTTCGGTGTTTATCATGGTAAGAACACTTACTACGAGAGCTAACTTCTTCAAACAAATTAGGTGTACAATACATTATTGACTATAGGTACAGTGTTATAAAATAGATCTCACAAGGTTATTCGTCTTGTTTGACTGAAACTATATACTTACTGATTAGTAATTTTTTATTTCTCTTTTTCCTTAGCCTCTGGTAACCACCATTCCACTGATTCTATGAATTTGACTGTTTTAGATACCTTATGTAATATGTGGGGTCATGCATTGTCTTTCTGTAACTGACTTATTTCACTTAGCAAAATGTCTTCAAGATTCATCCATATGTTTATACATTACAAAATGTCCTGCTTTTTTAAAGACTGAATTATATTCCATTATATGTAGGTACCACATTTTCTTTATCTAGTCACCTCCTGAAAAGCCATTTAGGTTGTTTCCACATCTTGGCTATTACGAGTAATGCTGCAGTGAACATGAGTGTTAGTATCTCATCAAGATCCTGATTTCAGTTCTTTTGGAAAATATACAGTAATGGGATTGCTAGTTTATATAGTAGTTCTTTTTTAATTTTTAAAAGAACCTCCATCCTGTTTTGCAACAGTTAGCAGCACTGTTTTGCATTCCTATTAGCAGTGTGCAGGGGTTCCAATTTTTCCATATTGTCATCAACACTTTTTTTTTAAATAATCACCATTCTGACAGGTGTGAAGTGATATCTCTGATTTTTATTTGCATTTCTGTGATGATTATGGATGTTGAACATTTTTCATATGCCTGTTGGCCATTTCTCTGTGGTCTTTGGAGACCACAAATATAAGTATTTGTATATCCAAATACTTAATCCATACTTAAATTCATTTTTAGTTTTTTTTTCCTGTTGAGCTGAAGGAATTCCTAATATTTTGAAGACTAACCTCTTATTCAACACATAGTTTGCAAATATTTTCTCCTATTCTGTAGGTTGCCTTTTTTTTTTTTTACTCTGTTGATTATTTTCTTTGCTGTGCAGAGCTTTTCACTTTGCGAGTTCATGTTTTTTATGTGTTATTAAACATTGAGTAGGTTGATCAAGTAGTATGGTGGACATGGTTGTTATCTATCTAAATTATTTATTGTCAATAGTTTAGGGAAGCTTCCATTACCAAATGATTTTCTTTTGCATTTTTCATTGTTAACCTTCCTAGCTTTCTTGTAGACAGATAAATCATATTTTAATTATGAAAATAGTTAACCTCAATTAAGGAAATGACCAGTGACTTTTTCCTCCCATTTTAGTCTAGGTCTTTATAGTATCACTTTGTTTTCCATGTGCTATATATTTTTTAAAAACCTGCATATAATGAAAATAAAACTTTGAAGTAGCTATTTTTGTCTTGCTTTTATTGTATCACATTAATAATCCACTTTTGTACAATTATATAGAAAGTACATGTGACTTAACTTTTGTCTTGTCTTTCAACAGAAGGAGAATATATTAAAATGTTTATGCGAGGTCGACCTATTACAATGTTTATTCCTTCTGATGTTGACAACTATGATGACATCAGAACAGAACTGCCTCCTGAGAAGCTCAAACTGGAGTGGGTGTATCCTTCTCTACCATGACAGAAAACTTACTTACTTTATCTCTAGTTTAAGAAAAATTGGTTTCTATCAAAATTATGTTTATACCAGAAAAATAAATATAGTAAATATAAGAACCACTTAGAGGCTTAAAAAAGAGACATCATCTCATATCCTTTCACATATTGAATATATTTTGCTATTAGCAACATAAAACCTTCAAAATTAATACAGAAAAAGCAAGCAGTATTCCCTGAACATCAATATCATCAGGTACTGATTTCTATCAGATAGTGTGATAGAAAGGTACTGGACTAAGATTGAAAGACTAGTATTTTGACCTTGCCACTTACCCTTATGAACCTTATCTTTCTTCACTTATAAAAGAAGTTAATAAGCTGTCTCACAGACCTGTTGTAAGACTTTAATAAGAAAACATTTCTTAAGCATTTTGTAACCTGTGAAACGATGTATTAAGAGCTCAACTTAAATGTTGATTCTGATTCCAAAATTAGCTTCTTTTCTGCTAGACTAAAAAAAAAAAAAAAAAGATTAATACAGAGCTTTCCTAGTTTCACCTAGGAATTCTCACTTCTCTTATAACCTCTGAGAAAATCAGTGAAACAGAAAGAAGCTAGTCTGCTCTGGTCCCCTTAACCTCCTCCCCACACCCTTTGAATTCCATGCATTAGGTAAAAATCAGCTTGGGAAAGCTCAACAATCTTATAATTTGGTTCAACTTCTTTTTATCAAACATTCTAGATAATCAAACTATGCCTAATAATTTCTTATTCATCATTTTAGGGTCAGCATAAATGGCACTTTCTCAAATGTGCCTTATTTTACTCTTCTTTTTTCCATCAAAAGTAGGTCTTCTGTTTATGCTTTCTCCTAGCATCCTGTTATGTTCTTTCCAAGTTTATAATTACATATCTGGTGATTATTTCTGTCTTCTTCCAGAGCATAAACTGCAGGCACACAGACCCTGTATTTGCTTTGTTCAGAGCTGTATGTTCAGCACTGTGCCTGAAACATTAGGAACTTTATCTGTGTCGATCCGATGAATGAGGAAACTAAGACAAACATAGTAAAAGACTCAGTCAGTGTTGGACAAGGATAATGACGGGATGTGAGTTTTCTAGCTGTAGTTCAATTCTCAGTTTTCCGTACCTTGCTGATTTAAAGTATCCTTTAAAATAAAATTGGTAGCTTAGCAAGTTGAATATTTGTTAAAAACCTTGACTCTGTCTTTGAAGATATGGCTATCGAGGAAAGGACTGTCGAGCTAATGTTTACCTTCTTCCTACGGGGGAGATAGTTTATTTTATTGCATCAGTAGTAGTGCTATTTAATTATGAGGAGAGAACTCAGCGACACTACCTGGGTCATACAGACTGTGTGAAATGGTTGGTATCATTTAATATTTGTCAGTTTTGTTCTTTTTTGTCCTCATTTTGTATTTTTAAAATTGGGTTACACTGAAATTGATTTCTTGTGAAAGGCTCAGAATGCAAGAATATTATGGATATTCTACAGAATGTATTTTAAAAAGAGAAAAGTTCTTAGTCCTTCAAAATGGTGGGTGTGATATCAGCAACAATAAAATATACCCTTATAAATCCCAGTTGGAATCTCCTCTGCTTTCTCAGATCATTTTAGTCCTTTCCTTTTGGTCTGTAGTATGAAATACATGTGGTTCAGACAATTTTTACAGATTTTTGAGAGTAGCTACTGGTTACTGAAGTCATTGAAGGTTTATGCTATGTACATAAATTTTAGGTTTGAGGCTTTTCTCTTACAGGAAAAGAAATCATGGCTGACTAGGGTCATTTTTTACTCAATGAATTTTACAATTCTTTAGTTTTACTCATTCATTTTTTATTAAAATCATTTTCTGACATTTAAAAGTTTTGGTTCTTTATTCCTATACTGTTCTGGCAACAATATGTAGACACAAATTTCTCAACTATGTGACTATTAGGATATTATATAAATGCTGTTAAACTCTTTGAGATAATTAAAATATTGCCTTTTACACTTACAGAATAACATATCTAAAATTATTGCAACGTTCTGATAGTTAACTGTCTTTCATTTTGTGACTAGTGTAGTTGTAGTATATCCATAGGTCACCATGCAACCGTGGGGGAAGAAATGAGGGAGGAGCCAGGCATGGCAGCACAAGCCTGCGATCCTAGCACCCAGGAGATTAAATAGGAGGATTGAATAACAGAAAAACAGGGAAGGGCCTTATCTATTCATGTGAAAAAATCCCTAAGATATACTTCCAAGTACAAATATTAAAGGAAAGTGTACATATACGCTATCATTTTGTAAAAAAGAAAATAGCCACACCTGGAAAATAGCAAGATATGGTAGTACATACCTATAATTCCAGCACTGGGAGGCTAAGGCAAAAGGATTGAAAGTTGGAGACCAATCTGGGCTACTTAGTGTGACCCTGTGTCCAAAAGAAACCACAAAGGTGTAAAATATTTATTTTGGCTTCCACATTTGTTTAAAAATTCCTAGAATTATTAATAAAAAGAAACTGATTACAGTGACTACCTTGATAGGTTTAAGGGAATGCGGATGTAATGAGGTAGGTGAAATCCTAGCAGTCAGAGCAGCTGGGAAAGAGGCTTTTCTCAGAATGTTTTGTTGTTGTTGTTGTTGTAGCTTTTGATATTTGAACCGGAGGCTCAAGTGGTGGTAGAGTGTTTTGCAAACATGAAGCCCAGAGTTCAAACCCCAGTCTCACCAAAACCAAACACTGATATTTGAACCATGCAAGTGTATTACCTAATCCAGAAATTATAATTTTTAAAAAGTGTTTAAAAGAGACATTGAGTTAAATATGGTGATTTTTTAGTTAGATTTTTAGTTACTTTTAGTGTAGTTGCTATCAATATGGGACATAAACTATTTAAGAAGAAAAGGAAGTAAAGAAACATTGATAAACATTATAAAGCTTTCTTTATAATCAAAGAGATGAAAACAAGATACCATTTATGCTTATCAAATCACTGAAATATTTTAAAAGCTAGAAGTTTTTTTGTATATTGGAGTTTAAAGAGCCTTATGCTTGCTAGGCTAAAGATGTAATTCTTAACATGGGGAAATTGTAGAAACTTGTGGAACATTTTTATTTCATGACACTTTAAATTAATACTATTCTGGAAAATATTAAACAGTACCTACCAAGAAACAAACAAAAATTATATTTTCAGTTGAACTTAACCCTTGATTGATTAAAAAAAAAAACCTAATTAAAAGGTTGACAGCAATATGTTTGAAGATGTTACTCTTAGGGGTTTTTGTTTACTTATTTATCAAAAAGTAGAAATGTCCTAAAATATTACATAATTGTTAAGTTAGTGATATGTATAAGGATTATGTAGTAAAATGAAAAGATGTGTATATTTTAATAGATTAAAGCTACACCATGCAATCTTAAATCTTTAATAAAACCATGTGGGTATGTGTGCCTGTGTACATGAACTCAAAAGGAACTTGAGCAGTTGAAAACAGTTTAATTTGTTATCATACCAAAGTTGTAGGTCACTATTTTCTTCAAATTTAATGTTCCATTAATTTATTAAGGTTAACAAAGAAAGATAAAGTATAGCTGAAAACTTAGAAATCTTCAGATAATTAAAGTTTGTTTAATTTTCTAAAGAGAATAAATAGGTCAAAGTGAGTTTTCTTATGACTAAAAACTATTTGTTTGAAAAATGTTGATACAAAGGTACATTTCTGCTGTTTCACATGTTTCCTGTATTTAAAATTATTGTTAATGCTGCTTTTTAGCCTTGCTATACATCCTGACAAAATTAGGATCGCAACTGGACAGATAGCTGGAGTGGATAAAGATGGAAGGGTGAGCAGCACAGTTTTATGCATTCTATATCCAGTGATACTACTATTAAAGTGGAATTGATTGTAATTTTAAACACTTCTTTATTTTTTTTTCTTAAAATTTAACTATAGAGAATTTCTAGTATAAGCAGGGGAAAAGTATTAGGACGTAAAAATGCTTCAAAAGACAAAAGAGAATCATAATACTAAAATTTTTTTTCTGAATAGTAAGTGTTCTCCCTAGAGAAACTATTAGTAAAAATGGGAGGCCTGAAATGCTTGGTAGATTTTTTGTTACATAGAATGACTTCTCAATGCTTGTCAGAAGGTACTGCAGTTTCTTGTAATCAGTGGGACCTTTTGATTTTATATATAAGGAGAACTGATACTGCCTAAAGACTTTAAGTTACTATTCAGTGTTATTAAATTGGTTTATATAACAAATCTAAGATCAACAGTAAATACTGATGATGACTGATTAGCATATGTGTGATGGTCCTCATGATATGTTTTAGGTTCAGTTTCTTTAATGAAAAGGAAAAGGTGCAGGGTTTATATAGGATAGCTTTGAAGATCCCTTCCAATTCCATATCCTATTAAGAACTGTTTGATCAGTAATTTATTGGATACTTTTTTTTAAAAAGGTATTATTTTCTCAGTAATGAAGGTAATGTTAAATACAAATTATCGATGTAGTAGTCCATGCCTGTAATCCCAACTACTTGGAAGGCTGAGACAGGAGGATCACTTGAGCTCACAAGGTTGAGACTAGCCTGGGCAATGTAGCACAACTCCCATCTCAAAAAAAGAAAGGTTCCCACAGTAAATTTGTCTGGGTTGGACTTGCAGTAAAATTTTGGTGAAGTTATTTAAATATCTGTACCTCTGTTTCTTCATCTGTTAAATGATAATTAAAATAGTACCTACAGTTCATAAGATTATGAAGATTAAATAACTGACACAATACATGTAATATATACAGAATAGTATGTGAAACATGGTAAATACTCAGAGTATTTGCTGTTATTCTTATTGTCACTGTTACCTCCTTTTCATGATTTGAGAAAAAAGTGCCTACTCTGGTAGTTTTTTTATTACATGTTTATCCATTCTTATTACTATTAAAAGACAGCAGACAGTTCATGTGGTAGTAGTGTGTATTTGCATTCACCTGAATACAATTAGTTCTGTTATCTTGTGTTTTTACAGCCTCTGCAACCCCATGTCAGGGTGTGGGATTCAGTTAGTCTATCCACACTGCAAATTATTGGACTTGGAACTTTTGAGCGTGGAGTAGGATCCCTGGATTTTTCCAAAGCAGTAAGTAACCATTTTTAAAGATGTAATCAAGCTGAACAAAGAGCAGAAAAGAATCTACATTCAGGTTTTTTGTGAGTGTGCATTGAAAAATGAGATGTTATGTTTAACATTAGCTGTCACTAAATGGCTAGTATTTTAACCTAAGTTACTAAATTTGGTTTAGGTTGGATCAAGATACTGTACCTACACTAAATTTTGTTTTATCCTGATACAGGATTCCAGTGCAGTAGTAGGAAATAGTTGGGGGAGTGTATACATAGCCTAGTATAATTCATTACCTCTCTCTATTCTAGAGACATTATGAGTCATGTACCACAAATGTTACCAGAAAAAAAATTATTTAATATTATCCATAGTTCCTTCTCTTAAGCTGAATTAAATTGTGTAAATGAGGATGATTTTAGAAAAAGAGAGGGGTTTTAGTAGCTGGGTGTGGTGGCACATGTCTATAATTCCAGCACCCAGGGAGACTATGGTAGGAGGATTGTGAGTCCATGGCCAGCCTAACTTTGTGAAACTCTACCTCAAAAAGCCAGAAAAACAAAGAAAAGGATTTAGTTCTTTTATTCTTATTTATTCATGTTAATGAGCCAGATATATCATTAAAAAGTTGAAATTAGCAAACTTTAAAATAGCTATTAATTTTAGCTTATTCCACCAAACCATCAAAATGTCATCAGGAGAAAAATCTATGAAATTATGTACATTTCTTTCTACCTCATGAAGAAATTCCTTAGATTTTACTTATTTTTAATCTTGGATTTTTTTCCAACAGCAAAGAAGGAAGCATAAGATGCTGAAAAGACTAGGGTATCCTCAAAAAGATTTGATATTGCTAAGTAATGGAAGTGGCTAGATGGCAAGTAAGAAATGAACCCAGGGGATAATGAAAAATAGAAACAAAGTTAAAAGAATCTCTATACTTCTACAGAAAATATATTTTTAGTAAACAGTGTATTCATTATGTTTCAAGAACAATTGAGTTTAAAGAATTTTGGATTTTCTTATTGTTGGCAGGTGTTTTTTGTTTGGGAGTACTGGCTTGAACACAGGGCTGCATGGTTGCAGAACAGGTGCTCAACTGCTTGAGCCACACCTACAGCCCTATAGATAGTTTTAATAATATGGAATTTCTTCCTTAGAAGTTTAGCCTTAACCAGGAATTTTTTAATACCTTTAATTGACTTGTTTAGGATTCAGGTGTTCATTTGTGCATTATTGATGACTCCAATGAGCATATGCTTACTGTATGGGACTGGCAGAAAAAATCCAAAGGAGCGGAAATAAAGGTAAATCAAAACAATTTTGAGTATTATCTTTTAGAGTACTTTATTTGCCTGTCAGGTATTTGGAGCTATATTATATGCATGTCCTTAAGAGAGTAAATCCACTGGCCAAATTCATCAGATTTATTGATTAATTAGTATTCTGTGGTTTTAACATTACAGTTGTACAGTATAAAATAGTCAAGCAATTGAAACCAGTATTTATTTCAGATGAGATCAGGTACGTTCAGGGGGTATGGCTATAGACTGTTTCATACAGCATCATGCTACTGAAATGCCAAAGTAGGTGGAAACTAAACAATTTACTTGGCTGCTGCTTTAATACACTTATGATTTAATTAAATCTTCAAAGCTTTAGAGATGTAGAGGAAAATTTTAATCTTAAATATGACTGACATAACTGAGGGCATATATAATAATGTTTTGGGTTTAAATTGTGGTTTTAGGATTGTTATAGAAAATGCTATAGCATTTATAATTACTTTAGGGTAGTGTTGATCCCTTTGTGTGAATCAAGCTATAATTTGTAAGAAAGAGAAGAATATAAGTTAGCATCGCAGCTGCATTTATATGGGTCAGACAATCTTGGTTTGGGGCTAGATCACTGGACCATCTTTACCAGCTTCTCCTTTTGTGATGACCTTATTCTATTTAACTATAGATGGGCTCTATTCTTGTTTAAATCATAAAGATTTGAGAAACTTATAGGTAACTTTAATTTACATGAGTTTAAAATTCAGTAACATCACTTCACAACCTTAGCAACAGAAATTAAAGAGCACCTAGTAAATGATGTAACATTGAATAATCATACAGAATATAGTAATATAAAAATGTTCACTTCTTGGGGCAGGGCTTAAAAAATACCACTTTTCTATGTATTGGTCTGTGTAGTCAACATAGTCAAAATTCCCTGTATGAGATTTTATAGAACTAATAAGCTAAGTATGTTTGGAAATAGGAAGTGGTATGAATAGTCAAGATAATTGTGAAGAAGCAGAATAAACTTAGAGAACTTAAGCTATGAGATATCAAGATATGTAATTGAGACCTGGTAGTCTAATGATAGATGGACAGATCAGTGGAAAAGAATACAGAATCTAGAAACAGACTATGCAGATCAATCACTTGGTTTATGGCAAAGGTGACAATGCAGTGGGCAAAGATTAAGGTCTTCAATGAATAATGTTGGTTTAAGTGGATATCCATATAGAGAAAACTTAATCTTCATCCCTACACCATAGCATTCACAAAAATGTGTGTTTTAGGTGGATTATAGATCAGAGCATGAAAAGTGAAAACAATAAAGCTTTGGGAAGAAAATATAGGGCACTTTCTTAAACATGGCCTATAAAGTACTAAGTATAAATGGGAAAAATGACAAATTTTACTAAACTTTCTCTTGTAAGGCATGGTGGCACATACCTATAATCCCAGCGCTTGGGAGATTAAGGCAAGAGGATTGCAAGTTCAAAGACAGCCTGGGTAACATAGTGAGACCCAGTCTCAAAAAAAGAATGTGCAAAAATATTTGCAGTACATATTTCCAATAAACTATCTATGTTCAGAACTTCAGTAAGAAAAAAAAATCAGCTTTTTAAAATTGGCAAAACAATTTTCAACAGGCACTTCACAAAATAGGATATCCAAGTGATTTATAAGCATATGGAAAAATGTTCAGCCTCATTAGTTATCAAGAAAATTCAAATGAAAACCACAGTGAGATGCCACTATGCAGCTATCAAAGTAGCTTACATGAGAAAGGCAAAAATAACAAGATTGGTGAGAAGGTAGAGTAACTGGAACCCTCACACACTGCTGCTGACCCAGCCTATTCCTCTCCTGGGTATAAACTTAACAGAAATATATGTATGTGTTTGCTAGAATAAAAGAGCAGTGCCACTTATAATAGCCAAAAAAAGAGGATATTACCCTAATACCAATCAGTAGGAGAATGGATAAAACAGTAACTGTGATCTTTTTTATGCAAGGGAATACTTTGTAGCACTTAGAATGAACACATTACAACTACATGTACCTACTTGAATGGGTCTCACAAATGTAAGGTTAAGGGAAGAAGCCAAACTTGAAGGAGTACATTGCTTATAATTCCATTGAAATGAAACAAAGCTCTCTGTGCTGCTGTTTCGATTACTCGAGTAGAGAGGGGGTATAGTAACCGCAGAGGGGACCAGGGGTGTTTCTGGAATGTTGGTAATGTTCTGTTTCTAGCTTTAAGGCAATGTACATTGCTATTGCACTTAATAGTCACAGTATGGTTATACAAGAAGTTAAAATACAGCTGGAATTCATACAAATGTCTTCCAAGTGTGAAGGTTTTACAAGTAAATAGTATAAAAAAGATTTAATAGTATAAGGACAGCAAATTTAAATCTCTATCCTAAAAATCTATTAAGTTTTTTCAGAAAACTAAATCTTAGAGGAAAAGGCATTTCCTCAAAATTTTCCCCTCAAAATTTATCTTTGATTGTCAGGGGCTATAGTAGTCATTGGAAAGCAAAAATAATATACATTCATCTAAAGCTTTATTTCTGATTTCACAGACAACAAATGAAGTTGTTTTGGCTGTGGAGTTTCACCCAACAGATGCAAATACCATAATAACTTGTGGTAAATCTCATATTTTTTTTTGGACCTGGAGTGGCAACTCACTAACAAGAAAACAGGGAATTTTCGGGGTAAGGGTCAGAATGTTGAAACCTCATTAGATATATAAAACTTTAGGTTTTTTTAAATTGAGTAAGTAGTGTAAAATTATCATGCCAAAGGGAAAACTGAAAATTCTCATTTCATTGTAGAAATATGAAAAACCAAAATTTGTGCAGTGTTTAGCATTCTTGGGAAATGGAGATGTTCTTACTGGAGACTCAGGTGGAGTCATGCTTGTATGGAGCAAAACTACTGTTGAGCCCACACCTGGGAAAGGACCCAAAGGTATGGTGTTCTTACATTAAACTCACTCTGTGTAGTAATTCTCAGTGTAGTGCTGGAGATTGGCAGAGCAGCATGCTCTCAAAAAAACAAAAAAGTGAGAACAGCAGTATCGGCTATTTTTCCCACTTAATACTCTGTTCTCTTTTTGAGCACATTTGTTCAGTATCAGAAAAAGCATAGTATATCTAAGTAGGATCTTTTAAATTGTCAACATATCCTCCAACACTGAGCAGAGTTTGGATGGAATGAACCTTTCATTAGCCTTAATGTTTGTGTTTAGGTGGGGAGCAGGGAGAAGTTCTGAGGTTTTTATTTTAGTTTTTGTCTGAAAAACCTGCGGTTTACCTCTGTGCACAGAAAATCTGCATATGCACAAACAGGAAACAGGAAGCCTAGTATTACAAATTCCTGGGCGCATTGTAGCCTGCTATATGACCCACCCGATTATGTGCAAAGTTGCTAAAATTTTTGTTTTATTGTTAGGGGTTTTCAGTTCTTTAAGTAGTGGGAAGGATTTGGTGAGTACAGTGGCAAAAATTAAAGTGCAGACCAGAACAGATGTCCCAAAGTTTCCATATTTTAGTTATAAATTGTCCCAAATTTTCAGTAGGTGGATCCAGCTTTACATGTATGAACTTTATGTAAGTTAACAGGAATATTCAAAGTAATTAGTATTTACTATTTCTTAAGTGGTAAAGGGTATTTATTTCCTACATACATGAAATGGTTTTAGATTTATTCTTGTGCAAAATGATTCAGTCTTATAAATGGAGGAGTATAAATTGAGAGTATCTATAGCACCATTAAAATATTATCATTCTTAAATCTTTGTCAAGTTCCTCTAAGGAACTGGGAAACACCACCATTTTACCTGCTTACCGGTTATTAGGATGGGCCCATTCGCCCAGTTTATAAGAATACAGTCTAAATTTCAGTACCTCCCTGAAATTTGATTTTGTATTTAAGCAGGCCCAGAGAGCCTTCCAACAGCTTCATTTGTCAAGCCAGGTAAACACCGTTACATAAAGAAAGGAGGAAAGGATTACAATTAAGGTTGTATAGACTTGAGCATATGATGAGGTCTAGCAGTAGAGTAGGCTTTTTAACTCAAAGATAATTATTTTTCTAGGCAAGAATCTCAAATATTATTTGTCCTTAACTGAAATGTCAGGAATACAAGCCCATAAGAAAGAAATCCTTGGCTATAAATTTGTTTTATAGGTAAAAACTACATAAAAATGAAAACTTTGGTGACTTATTTAAACTTGAAGCACTTAATTTTTTTTTAGTTAAGTTAATATTAGACTTCCTCAGGAAATAATGTTTCCAGGGTGAGAGGAGGGGAATGGGAATCTGAGTTGATCTCTGTATATTTTTATTCCTGATGAAGCATTTGTTCCTTGGTTTTATTTCCTATTTTCTAACATTCCTTCATTCTGGGAGGATCTTAAGTGTTTAACAAGGTTTTTGACATGTTTAGAAGTATGGAAGGCTAAATTAAGAACAGAAAATTTTTATTTCATTTTCCTGCACTCTGATTGAGAACTGTGAAACTCCATGCCTGCTTTTTGTAATTTCTTACATAGTATTTTCAGATTATTCTTGTTACTTTTATAGTATATGGAGAAAAAAAATCTAGTGGGGGGGGTATGTGTGTGCATGTGTGTAAGTAAAGCCAGCAATACTCTTCTAGAAAATATGCATCTCTCAGATGCCCTTGCTGTCTGGTACACCTAAATGTAAGCAGAGCTGATAGATGTTTGTGTGGCCATCCCATTGAACACACTGTGTTGCTCAAAAGCTTAAAGTAGGGCTGGTGGGCCTGAGGCTGAGTTCAAACCCTAATACCACCAAAATAACAAAGTATTAAAAAAAAAAAACCTCAAAGTATTTTCAGATGATGAATTTGATGTGAGTGGAAGCAGTTGACCTGAATAGCAGGTTTGTTGGAGGTCTGCTTCCACCTCTGCTGAATCAGACAAGCTCTTATCTAAATCAAACAAGTCCTTTCCTCACTCTCTGTCACATACACCCATCTATTTAGTATTTGTACCACAGAGTATAGCTATAGCTGAATTTTGTTTTTTTATTTTTTGGTGATTCTGGGGGTTTAAACTCAGGCTTGCTAGACAGGCACTCTGCTACTTGAGCCATGCCCCAAACACTTTTTGCTTTAGTTATTTTTCCAGTAAGGTCTTATATTTTTGCCCAAGCCACCCTGGATTGCCATCTTCCCATTTACACCTCCCACGTAGCTGGGATGACACCAAATTCAGCTTTTATTGGTTGAGGTAGGGAATCTCACTAACTTTTGGCCAAGGTTGGCCTTGAACCATGATCTTCCTCGTTTATGCCTCCTGAGTAGCTGGAGATTACAGGCATGACTAGACCTGTCATATGTAGCTGAATTTCTTAAGAACGCCAAAGCCCTACACGTTTTAGTTAATTTTTTTAAAAATATAATGACAGCTCAAATAGAAAGGTGAGTTCAAAAAAACTATCTCAGTAATCATTTTGATACATGATTCATATACCATAAAATTTACCCTTTTGAAGTATATAATTCATTAATATTTATTATATTCACAGTTGTGCAACAATCACCACTGTTTAACTTCAGAACATTCTCATCACCCCAAAAAAAGAAACCCTGTATCCACTAGCATTCCCCTCCCTCCCCATATCCTCTAGCGGCTACTAATCTACATTTTCATCTAGGGATTTGCCTATTCTGGGCATTTTATAAAAGTGGAATCATAAAATATATGGCCTTTTGCAACTGTTTTTTTTTCACTTAGTATAATATTTTCAGGCTTCACTCATCATGTAGTATATGTCATTACCTTGTTTCTTTTTATGATAAAATAATACATTGTACGATACAACACATTTTCTTTATCCATTCATCAGTTGGTGAACAGTTTTAGAAAGTGAGCAGTTTTAAAGCTGTTCATTTTTGCAAAGGATCTAAGGGCTATTTATTGTCTTACTTGCCATATTTATGCAAGGCTCTACCTTCCCATTTTGAACCTGGTAACTAATTGTGTAAAGTGTCCTGATCCAGAAAGCTTTCCTCTTATACTACCAACCTTACTCAACTAGCTAAAGAACTTCTCTGAATAAACATCATGAATACCAAAAAAAATAAATAAAATAAAATAAATTCGAGTACTATAATCTTATCATGACCCTTAAGAAAGTGGATCTAAAAGCCAGGTATAGTGGTATGTACTTGTAATCCCATCACTCATGAGGCTGAGGCAGGAGGATCACGAATTCCAGATCAGCCTGGGCTATATAGCAAGTTCCAGACCATCCTGGGATACATGTTAAGACTGTGCCCCAAAATATGGGGGGAAGGATGGGACAAGGTATGTTCAAAATTATTCCAGAAGGGTTTTGCTTAAAATTTTTTTTATGTACCTACCTTTCCCTCCCTAGGCACATAGTAAAAGGGCTACCACATGCAAGAAAACTAGGCTTATTTAGTCTTCACATTGGTAGAGCCTGACCAGTTTTAAAATACTGAAATTCTTATTTGTTTAGTTGGTTAACAGCTACTGTTGGGAGCATCCAGTACCCACTTTGCCCTAACATCCTCCCTAGTCTTCCATATCTCAGCAGATAAAAGGGGGTAATCCTCCAGGTGGCCTTGATTGTTTAATGTAACTATGACTGTTACCTCAGCAGGCAGTGAAAGCTTTTATTTTTTTAAATTACAGAGCATTGAGCTGGGAGACTTGAGTCCTGGTTGCAGCATTGTTACTAGTTAACTGTGACATTGACTGTGCTGCTCCTGTACTTCTGTGTCCTCAGCTCTACCATGAAAAGAGTAACATCACTGTAAGACTGTATGAAACAGTTATAAGAAATGATAGTGAAGTTTTGACACAGATACATTTTATACCATTACCTGTAAAAATTATTTTCAGAGTTAATAATTAACATAAATGCAGAAAATTATATTGTCTTAAGCTTCACTGTCTTGCAGGAGACTTGCTAAAAATAGATTTTTGATTATTGCATCATGAACTTTTCTGAGTAATTCACTTTGTAGTTCTGCTACAGCTTTCTTCCAAAAGACACTAATGTCTGATGAAAAAGTTATCACTAGTGTTTTTATTTTTCCCTCATCATTAGGTGTATATCAGATCAGCAAACAAATCAAAGCTCATGATGGCAGTGTGTTCACACTTTGTCAAATGAGAAATGGGATGTTACTAACTGGAGGAGGGAAAGACAGAAAAATAATTCTGTGGGATCATGATCTGAATCCTGAAAGAGAAATAGAGGTAAGGTTGGAAATGAAACATAAAAATACAAAAATAATAAAGCCTCTACACTCATGTAATTTGCCCCACGTTAAGATAAATTACATTTTTCTGGGAAACTGGTGCACAGTCTTACCATTTCCTCCCCATAGAAAAGAGTTTGTTATTGCTGCACAAATTAATTTGTTTTTAAACAAAATAATTTGAAAGAATAAAAACCAAAAGAAATCAGGCAGAGTAATTAACATGTTTGTTTATCGTCTGAGACCTTTTTTTAAGTGATCCAAAAATATAACCATTCAAGGTTAAAATCCAACAAATAAGTTATTGAATTCTATATCCAAGCCCCAGCACATACAAAATAATTGGTTTAATTTTAAAACTTGAAAATAGTCTTTTAAACAGTGGACTTAATGAGAATTGCTAATTATCTGTGGATATGTCTGCTTCATGGCATGGAATAGCTGTAACCCCAGGTATTTTGTGCTCTGTGAAAACTTAGTAATTGAATTGCAGTCTCAGAAAGGAAAATGGTTACAAGAAGCATTTAGATTAACAATTCTTAAAGCAAGAGCAAATCTCATAGCATTTAAAATTGCTTCTATTTTCGTTCATTTATAATTTGAATTTATACTTAGTGCTTTTTCTAAATATAACCTGCTTTGTAGACAAACTCTTCTATAAAGAAGAAGATCCTGATAGTGCTGCTGTTGGGTTCTACTTCCAAAAGAAAATACAGAGCTGCTTTACCACAACCTTAAGTTCATAGTGGAAATGCCACTTTTATCATTTCTCTCCTTCACAGATATCTCATGCACTTGGTAATCAAAACTACACAACCTTGTTTATGCCTTCCTTTACCATTTCTAACCTAAATTTAGATTTGATTCTTTGTGTTTTTAGGAGTCATTTGGCTTTTTATGGCTTTATGGTTTGATTGTCTTGCTGTGCTAGAAGTTAAACTAAGGCCTCCAGCATGTTAGGCAAGTACTCTTCAGTTGAGCTATATTCCCAGTCCTCAGAGTCATTTTGGATTGTACTTCATAAAGAAGAAAGAATTGCATTATTTCCGAGTCATTCATTAGGATCACTATAATTATTAATGCATATTCACTAAGAATGTACCATGTTGTACATTAAATGAAATTGATCTCCCAAGAGTCTTATTAATGGCAGTTATAATACTTCCCTTGGTTGTCCCTTGGTATCCACAGGGGATTAGTTCTGTGAGCCTTCAGTGATACGAAAATCCGTGAGTGCTCAGGTTTCTTCTTAAAAATGGTCTAGTATTTGTAAATAAACTGTGCAGATCCCCCTGTATACTTAAATCATCTGTGTATTACTTATAATTTATATCTAGTACAATATAAGCATTATGTAAGTAGTTATTATACTGTATTGTTTAGGAAATAATGACAAGGAAAAAGGTCTGTACTTGTACAATACAGACACAGGGCTTTTTTCCTGTTAATATTTTCAATCCATGATTGATTGAATCCTCGAATAAGAACCTACAGATACAGAGAGTCAACTTTTTTTAGTTTATAAAGAAGTTTCACATATGTTATTTATATTTTTTGATCTTTACAGTAATCAAGAATAGGTAGGGCTTGTATTATTATCCCCATCCCCATGTTGCAGATTAAAAAAATTTTTCTAAGCTGAGTGACTTATCCAAAAGAACATAACAAAACCAGATCTCATTCTTCATGTGATATAATAGAACTTACCCCTTTTTTCCCTACTTCTAACTCTTAGCTCTTTTTTTTTCTTTTATTCATATATGCATACAATGTTTGGGTCATTTCTCCCCCCTTCCCCCCGCCCCCTCCCTCTCCCCTCCTACCCCCTCGCTATCAGGCAGAAACTATTTTGCCCTTATCTCTAATTTTGTTAACTCTTAGCTCTTTAAAACATATAAAACATAAATTTAAAATGAACACAAGTGAGTTGGGGATGTAGTTCAGTGGTAGAACACTTGCCTAGCATTTTGGTCTTGGGCTCAATCCCCAGCACCAAAAAAGAATAATAAGTGAAGCATATAATGTTGATAATACATTATTCATTTGTGTGTAGCAAAATCAATTGAACAAGTAAATTAGTAGTATGAGATTATCATTGTCTTCAAATTTGGGGTTCTGTCATTTATTACTCTGTGATTACTTACATCTGTAAATGCAGCCAGTGTTCAGGTAGCAATTCATGCATGTTAGTAATTTTCCAAATTTATTTTTTTCCAGGTTCCTGACCAGTATGGCACAATTAGGGCTGTTGCAGAAGGAAAGGCAGATCAGTTTTTAGTAGGTACATCACGGAACTTTATTTTGCGGGGAACATTTAATGATGGCTTCCAAATAGAAGTACAGGTAAGCTGTATGATGTCAACAATTAACAGAATATTTTTATAATAACCTTTGGTTCTTGTAATAATGGGTGTCTCTCATTGTTTTTAGGGTCATACAGATGAACTTTGGGGTCTTGCCACACATCCCTTCAAAGATTTGCTGTTGACATGTGCTCAGGATAGGCAGGTGTGCATGTGGAACTCTATGGAACACAGGCTGGAATGGACAAGGCTCGTAGATGTGAGTGAAGCAGTTCCTCCTTCTGGTAGTCAGAAGTAGCAAAGGAAAAAGAACGAAGCATTAGTTCAAACCAAGTTGTCTATGTATGGTTTGGCAGAGGGGTAGGTGTCAGATGGAAGTGTATAGTCTCAAGGTATAACATAAACCCACTTTAAAGAAGCAGATCAGCAGAGTAGAAGCTCAATTTTTGGTGATTTTCAGTTGTAAAACTCACAAAGGGTTCACATATATATGCAGCATTAATGGTTATGACATATATGGACCTCTGGTAGTGCTGCAGTTGGATTCAGTATATGCTGCTCACTAACACAGCACTAACAGATTCTGCCATCTTCTTTTTGAGTGGTCTGTTACTGCATTTTCTCCCTCCCCCACATAGATATTCACCTTTTCTAGCCCAAAAGGTATATACAGGTTCTTTGCAGACTCTAAAGAACTATACAGATGTTTGTCGTTACTATCCTTATTGCTCCACTGCCTCACCACAAGCTGGTTGTCCTTTTCCCTCACCATTCTGCCAGCATATGCCTTTCATACTCTGAAATTCTTTTTCCTTACATATCCTTGTGGTATTTCTCATTGGCTACAATAAAGTTGATCAGAATTCCACGTTTTTATGAGACAAGTTATTTTCAGAGATTTTTTTTCAGTGTCCCCATAGATCTAGGGAGACTTTCTCATGGACTCCACAACAGCTGTCTGTCTCTCTTCTAGGAACCAGGACACTGTGCAGATTTTCATCCAAGTGGCACAGTGGTGGCCATAGGAACGCACTCAGGCAGGTAGGGTCTTTAAGCGAGCTGAGTAATCTGAAATGGTGGGATGTTTAAACTGTTACTCAGAAATGTTCTTAATTTGATCTAGAAAGTTAATCTCTTTAGTATACTTGTTGTTCTTATCTGTTATGTATACTTAGATCATTTTTTATTGAGCACCTATCTACCCTTTGCTACATACTCATGTGGGCATTCAGGATACATCAGAGAGCAAAACAAAAATTCCTGCTCTCATGGAGCCTGCATTGAAATATGTGTTGGAAATGGAAGCAGAATAAAACTAAGCATTATCAGGACTGAGGCATGGCTCCAGTGATAGAGCACCTGCTGAACAAGTACAAAGGCCTGAGTTCAAATCCCAGTACCACAAAAATAATTTTAAATAAATATTAGAACTAATTATGTTACCAAATGTTAAGAGTTATAGGAAGGGAGGTAAAATAACAGATACTGAGATTAGGGGTGCAATTGCAAAATGATAACCACGGTAGTCGGAATAGGCTTCATTGATTGGGTGATAGCAGACTTGATTCTCCTTTGTGAAATTAGAAATACCAGGAAATTTCTCTCTTATTATCTTTCATTCAGAGAAAAGGTTTGAAACTGATAACACCTAGTCGAGCTTTTATCAATTGTTTGTACTGTAGCTTTTTCCATCCTCTCTTTCTTTGACTGCTATGCAGATCCTTAATAAATACATATTTCCTAAAATCATTAATGATGTGTCTTGCAGACCTTTCTAGGGTTATTAAGTAACATGTTTATTATCTATATATTTTTATTGCAGCTGATGCTAGTAAGCCTACTCATTGCTAGTAGGTAGTCCTCATCACAGATTACATTGGTTTTTTAAGGAGGCAGAGAAAAATGAAGTCAGTTTTCACAAGTTAAACCTATTTAAAAATGCAAAATGTTGATTTCTAATGGGGTGAAACTATTGTGAACACATCCATATGAATATCATTTTTTAATTTATTCAACTTAAATATTTCATATCAACCAATTAATTTAATTCTAAGTAAATTTAGTTGCCTAAAGGTATTTTATAGCCAGCTGGGGGATGTAACTCAGTGATGGAGTACTTGCCTTGTATGCACAAAGCCTTGGAGTTGATCCTCAGCCCTAAAAAAATTAAAAAAAAAAATTTTTAAAGTATTACTAGAGTTTTTTTATAGCAGTTTTTCTTTTGGCTTTTTGGATACCAGTTTACATCTCTGGAAGTGAAATACTTAAATTCATTCTCAAATATAGTACTGCAAAACTGAAAATTATGGAAAACAAGTCTTTAAAGATAATAAATTGTAGCTATATAATTAAAGATGCTATTTGAGTGTTTTTGAAATCATTGAAGTGTAGAGTTAAGCTGCCTTGGAGAGCAATTGGTAGTAGTTTACATATAATATATTAATGATTGTTAATATAGTAATTATTAAATAACATTAATAATATATCACTATGTTAATATGTATATGTGTAATATATATAAAAGTCTTTACTATCTCAGATTTTTCTCCAAAATGTATGTCAAGAATAGTTTATTGTAGGATTTTATAGTATTTAGACTTGGTCTAAATAAATAGGCAGAGTGAAAGTCATTTTGTTGGACTTGGAGGAAATTACTTTCTTTTTAACCAAACCAACAAAAAGGGGGCGAGGGAATGGGGGGTGTTAAGCACATAGGAAACTACCTAAGCCCTATAGTGCTGACCTGGTTTTCTGAAAACCACAAAGGAGTTCATTTCAGACCTATACTTTGGACAGCAGGGCAGATGTCATAAATACTAGTCACTACAATAATAAGAGTAGAAATAACATTTACTCAGTATCTGATGACAGACCTGTGCTAAATTCTTTCATGTATTGCTTTTAATATTAGCAAAAGTGAAACAAGGTGTTTATTAATATCTCCATTGCATAGACAAGAAACCAAGCAAGGCCCATAGTTTCAATCATTTGCAGATGAGCTGGGATTTGAACTCAGGTTGTATATGATTCCAAAACTTACCTCTTTACTCCACTCGCACTCTTGGAAATATTTTTCTTGGTGTTTATAGCATTACTTTGAAATATTATAAGGAGATTTGTCTTTATTGGCTGACATACACACACAAACACACAAAAGGAAGTTAAACATTAAATGGAGTATAAGGCTAGAGGGTTTGAAATTCACAGACACACTCTTTGGATGAAGGGTATATGAATGTGTCCAAATATACAAACATACACAGCCCCAATTTTATATTTTAAAAAAAGGTCTGATTGAAACCCACTGAAATACTTTCCAACATTTATGTAGCTGTGAAATCATCATTGACAAGCTTTAAATGAAGTTACTCAATTTAAGTGACTTACACTAAGTTAAACCAGTTGTTTCCTGTTGGATCAGTAAGTACAGAATACTTTATGAGTGACAGGGATATCATAACTAAATAAATAGTGCCATCAGTCTATTCTGTGTTGTATGGAATTGGGGACTGGTTAGAATCTAGCAGAAATGTAGTTGTCAGTGTTCGTTCTGTATATAAAAAACTCCCGTCTTTGATTTCACATCTGGTTAGATTGATGGAGAACTTACTCATTTTTATTTTTGCCTTTGTCTATAAAAACCTAGCTATGCTGTCTAAAACTGAAAATTGTTAATGTAGCCATTTGGATTGCTACTGCTTTTTTTCTTAAGCCTAAAAAAAGTCATACTTAGGGCCAAGAATGTTTTTAGTATAATGTATGTCCAAATTGTGCACAATCATGAAAAAGTAGTAAAAAGTTTAAAGATGTCTTCATGTTCCTGTATAGGTAGCTTCTACTTTGTGTAACCAAAGAGCCAGCACAATAGACAATTCAGTTGGTTTTTCTGTAAATTCATAGGGTTGTACAATAAAATTTCAGGACATTTTTACTAAGCCAGAAAAAAGTCCTATACCTAGTAGCAGCCATTCTTCTTGAACCAACCAACTTTCCCCCAGCACTAGGCAACTGATCCACTTTCTATAAGTTTGCTTATTCTGGACATTTCATATAAATGGAATCATAATATGTTGACCTTTTTGTGACTAACTTCCTTCCCTTGAAGTAATGTTTACGAGGTTTCATCTGTGTTGATCACTTTATGTATAGCATGTGTAGTACTCTTTATGGCCAAATAATATTCCATTGTATGGGTATACCACTTTATCAATTAATAGACATTTGGGTTTCTACTTTTTGGCTATTATGAGTAATTCTGATACAGACATTCATATATAAGTTTTTTTTCTGGTAGATGTTATGTTTTCAACTTTTTTAATATCTCTTTAAGAGTAGGATTGCTGGGTCATATGATAAGTCTATGTTTAATATTTTGAAGATCTACCAGACTTTTTCACAACAGCGCTACCATTTTGTAATCCCTCTAGTAGTGTGGGTGTGGGTTCCAATTTCTCCACATCTTCACCAGTATCTTAAAATGTGTATTTTTGTTTATAGCCATCCAAGCAGGTATAAAGTGGTCTCCATTGTTTCTTTGCATTTCTTCAATGGCTAAAGACACTGAGCACCTCTTTATGTGTTTATTGGCCACTTGCATATTATTTTAGCAAAGTGTACACTCAAATCCTGTGCCCATTTTTGAACTGAATTGTCAGGAGATCCTGGGTTGAATTCCCAGTACTGAAAGAAAAAGAAAAAGAAAAAGTTTTAAATTATCAAAATTTAATATTTCAATTGATCTGTTCTTTCTCTTGTCTCTTAGATTTACTCCTGTGTTTTCTTCTAAAAATTTTGTAGCTTTAGCTTTTACCTTTTAGACCCTATGATTTCATCTTGAATTAATGTTTGTATATGGTGTAAGGTAGGCATCCAGCTTCATTCTTTTGAAGATAATCAGTGTTATAGCACCAATTTGTTGGAAACATCATTCTTTCACCACCTAATGATATCGGTACCCTTGTAGAAAATCATTTTGACTGTAGATGTATGTTTCTCTCTCGACTCTCTATTCTGTTGATCTATATGTCTGTCCAAATGCCAGTACTGTAATCTTGATTATTGTAGCTTTGAAATCAGATTATTGATTATTGTAGTTTTGAAATCAGAAAGTATGAGTCCTCCAACTTTGTCCTGTTTCACGTACTCAGTATCCCTTGAATTTCCACAGTAAGTTTAGGATCACTTGCAGTTTCTTCAAAGAAGCCAGCTGGCATCTGGCTTTGTTTTTAGGGGTTTGTTTTGTTTCTTCATTTTTATAGTGCTAGGGATGAACTCAGGGCTTCATGCTTGGTAGGCAAACACTCTACCACTTAAGCTTCACTCTTAGCATTGACATATGGCTTTGAGAGGGAGTTTTTTTCTCTATTGATCAATTTAGGGAATGTTGCCATCTTAACAATATTAAGTCTTGCAATTTACACAAATAGGATAGTTTTTTATTCGTATCTTTTAGTAGCAACAGTGTTTTTAGTTTTTAGGGTAAAGTTTGCATTCTTGTTAAATTTATACTGAAATATTCTAATATGATGCTGTTTTTTTAAATAAAATTGTTTTCCTAATCTCCTTTTTTTTTTTTTTCCTTTTGTGGTGCAGGGGCTCAAACGACACTGAGCTACATCTCTACTTCCTTCATTTCATATTTGAAATGTTCATTACAGTGTATGTAAATACAACAAAGTCTTAATATACTGATCTTGTATCTTGCAAGTTTGCTGACCTGCTTCTTAGTTCTAAATTTTTTTTTAACGGATTCCTTAGGGTTTTCTACATACACTGTCATGTTATATGAGAATAGAGATTGTTTTCTTCCTTATCAATTGAAATGCTGTTCTTTTTCTTGCCTCATCATGCTGACCTCAGGTACAATGTTGAATAGAAGTGGGTAAGCTGGCACCCTTTCTGATTCTGTCTTAAGGGGAAAACATTTGTTCTTCTACCATTGGAGTATAATCTTTTTTTGTTAGTTTTTCATAGATGTCCTTTATCATACTGAGAAAGTTTTCTTCTATTTTAGTTTTTTGAGCAAGCTTAATCATGAAAGG